TGACCACACCACAATTCAAACTGTCAAAGATTATACCTCATACAAATGCTGCATGCATCAGAAATGATTATTACATGTGCCTGCTGCTTCACTATAAATTTAAAAACACTAGTTTTGATCTTCTTGCTATTGGTAATTAACTTTTTGGCGAAAAAAAGAGACCTGAAAGGTGGATGTCATTGACCGTAAGTGAACTTATGTCATTTTCCGTAAGAAAACTAATGTCATTGACTATAAATAATGTCATTAACTGCAATATAATTGACTCTTTAACTGATTCCGTCACCAACAGCAACCTAATAAACAAACACGTGGACACTGGAAGCAGGTGTGTATGTGTGTGGCTGGGGCCTCCGTGTGTGTGCTCCAGAGACAGGTGCTTTTACGAGGGTGCTGTGCCTTTAAAGTGACGTGCTAAGAGGCCGTTTTACACCAGAGCGCTCCATTAAGGCAAAGCCATTAATGTCCGTTAGCTTTACGGGCTGTGGGGCTTAGGCCTCAGCCGACTGTAAAGCACCCACAGCGAGCGCCCATGTCAGGAGACCTTTGCTCACAGCCTGGGAAACCCCATGCATCCATTAATGTGACATGGTCATGCAGAGAGAGTTGTGAACATGATGACAGGGGAACTGCTAAGGTGTTATCACCCTTCACCTATGACTAATCTCCACGGACAGACGTTTTACTTACCATCTGCAACTTAGACGGCCGATGATGCATTCAGCGTCTGACAGATTGGAATCAATACATGCACGTAGCTGGTCAAAGTTTCCTTCTTTTAGTGCAATACATGGACTGTAAGGCTTGGGAACACAGGGCACAACTTAACACTTTGGTTTCAATCATTTTCAAAAGAGATTTCAGTCTTTTTTCTCATATTTCGACAAAGTCTGTTAGAGTTGGTTTGATGTAAAATGGTTCATTGTACAGAACTCTTTACGGATTTCCTTACAGATGTGGTCTTGGAATCAAGGTCCTCAGTATCTATAGTGCAAATGCAGCCATTATATGTGCCAGTTTTTGTGGGTAATATTTGTAATTGTAAAGTCGTGGTAAATCTTACAAAATGTGTTTCCTCAAGGAGACTATTTTGACTATATCTCTAACTTGAATGGGTTTTAAAAATGACCTCATAGGCCAAAATCTTATGTATTTAAACAATGCATCAAGCATCGAGCTGCGAATTTGTAAAAAAATTGTTTAAGAGCTTCCAGTGTGGTAGTTTTTACATTGTACTTACCACCACTGACTCGGTAAGTTCGTTTGGAATAGAGCATTTCATGATTCAACAATGGAATTATGCAATAAAAGAAAAAAAAAATAAAATTTCAGGAATTCCTAACATGGTTTAGCTAGTTTATTTGTTACACAAGCAACATAGACATCTGCAACAAATGAAAAAGTACTGTTTTGAGTACCTACCATTTTTCAACAATTCAGCCAAAAGTTGAGTGAAAAGAAACACTGAAACTTACAATCTGTTAAAACGAAATTTGCGAATCACATTGCTTTGGTAAAAGTAACTGAAAGTGCATGCTCCTAACTACATAAAAAGATCTGTGTTACAAATAAGGCCGTGTTTGGTTGTGCCCTTGCTCCCTTACTGCAAGGAAAACCTAAAGCACCACATACAACTCAAACTTTGGCTTCTTTTTAGAGTTATCCCAAAAAACATGAATTTCCATCAGCGTAGTCGACTTTTTCGGCAATATGTTTCAAACTAACCGTTCGCTCATAACACACAAATGCCTGCAAAATGTGAAGAAAATGGAACAAAACATGTAGCTTTCGAGAAACAAGGCAGGCATCATTTGTATTTTTCAATGCTCTACTGTTGACTTTGTGCTGGACGAGAGCCTCCTAGCCCCGGCTCTCCTTCTAGCCAGATTCCTAAACAAGCAAACTGGTAACAGGCTCCGGGTCTGCAAAAATAAACCCCAGACCATCCATTGTTTCCCCCATGCATGTCGCGCGAACGTTCGTCCAGAATTCCACAATTAGGGAGGAATGTCGACGAATGTTTGCAGCGCTGCCTTCGGTTAGTTTCCCTGGACGTACCATAATCAAACAAAAACAAGCAACCACTCGGGGAGCTCATCTCCTGCTCGTGTTTGCCCCCCGCCCCCTCTCCTCCTGCACTCCGCCACTCTCTCGCTCCATCTTTCTAAGAAACAATCTTTCATCCGTCACTCGTAATATTTCAATCTAAAGCCCGGGCTTTGCCAGCCGCTGATTTCTGTAACTGGATCAGATGTCTGATGATAAATGGCCTCTTGATGATTGGAATGGGATAACGTTTGGGGAAAAACCACCTGCTTTTTTTTCCCCCTCCGAGTCTGATGTCACCTAGCAGCCCGCACACAGAGTCATTTGAAGTACTTTCGGAATGCGATTGGAGACAACTCTATGGACTGGAGGGGGTTCAAAAAGAGCTAATAGAAAACATCGCTGTTCCCTTGAGAAACTCAATTATGGAGAAGCAAAGAAATGCAAGGATATTACTGGATTTACTGGAATACGGTTCCCACTGACTTGGACACAGGAAAAGAGCTGTGTTTTCGCTCGCTGTGTTCATCTTTGCAAATTTCAGCCAAAATATTTCCAGTAATTTTTACAATTGCATCCTAAAAAAAGTGCCACGCTGCCTGGAAGCCAATTTGGAATAAATTAAAACAACTATCTAGAATCGGTTTCCAGTATAAAGATTATTTTATTGTACTTTCTTCTCGGAATGTAAATACAAAACACAATCCAGTCCATTGTTTTCCACGTCAGAACAATGCATTAGTGTCACAAATGCGCTACCGCTCAAAAGTCACTGTTTCCATTAATATAAAAGCAATTTGTTGAAGATTCTATTTTAATGCTAATACTCCACAGCTTCATGGGTTTTAACTAATTTGTGGGAAGCTGTAAAAGGTTAAGAAATGTCAAATGTCTTCAGAATGATGAATGGGGCTGAAGAAGATTCCATAATGATTTAAAAAATCTGCATAACGTCAAGAATGAAAGTTTAATTAAATCAATATCCAGAATGCCTCTTATGATGGACAAATCTCACGGTGGATCATTCATCAAGAAATTACTACAGCAGATAATGACAGTATCTTATTTATCATTCAGTCACTTCTTGGCATTCCACTTACCACTTTATATGCCTATTTTCCAACCTCTCTTTATCTTTGTTTTTGTTAGCTGTGCCATACTGATATATGTAAATGAACTCTGTTCTGATTGGCTGACCTGTACTGTACCTCATTCAAGGAGCAATGTGGGCTGAAACACTGCTTATAACTTCAGTGTGAATGGGCGAGGCTAAACTGCTTTAGGCTGAATAGGTGGATGTACACCGATCAGGCATAACATAATGACCACCTCCCTGTTTCTACGCTGTGTCTGATCCACTCAGACCAGCACAACACACATTAGCACACCACCACCACGTCAGTGTTACTGCAGTGCTGAGAATGATCCACCACCCAAATAGTACCTGCTCTGTGAGGGTCCATGGGGGTCCTGACCACTGAAGAACAGGGTAAAAGGGGGCTAACAAAGTATGCAGAGAAACAGATGGACTACAGTCTGTAACTGTAGAACTACAAAGTGCACCTATATAGTAAGTGGAGCTGATAAATGGACAATGAGCGTAGAAACAAGGAGGTGGTCATAATGTGATGCCTGATTGGTGTGTGTAAATTTGTTAATTTTTGTGACATCACAGAACAGGTAATTTTTGCAGTTTTTTTCTGTGGTATGAGGTCAACTTGTGTCAAGCTTATAACATTTACATCTACACTTTTTGAGCTATTACTAAATAATTCAACAGCAATTACTGACAGCAACTGATCCCAGACTTTTGATCGGCAGCTACTGGCCTGGCTAAGTACATGACAACTAGTAGTGAACTTGTTTCAGCCACTAAAACGATGTGTGGTATCCGGTTGCTCAGATATTCCTTTGCATCCCTATTATTCTCCAAAGTAGTGTGAAGTAATGTTCTGCAAACAGTGACATGAACTGCTTCCATGCAATAAATCTTCAAACTTTAAGCGATGTGGACCCAGTAGCTTTGTACATGGCTGGCTTTTCCAATATTAGCAACAGCTGCTGCACTACAGGGATCTTCTGCAGATCCAGCCGAGGCTAAACAAGACTGCCATCCAGGCAAGGAGGAATTGTGAAACAATATTGTGCTTTCCCTTCAGTGACCTCAGGTATTCTTGGTTTGAAACTTGAAAATGCTCTTGTCGACCTTTAAAAGTGCTAGCACAACAGCTCACAGCAGAAGGTGGGCATGTCCCCTTGGAGGAAAACAAATTCTAGAAGTTTTCCTGGAGAGCCTGGAAAACAAGGAGTGTCCCACAGCAATAAGAGAACGGAGAGTTTGCTACAAGCTGTAATTGCACTTCGACAACCCAGGGAGTAATTGTCACCATCAGTCCTTGCTCATTACTCTAAATACTAGAGACATGGAGAGCGGAGCAGGAAAAAGAGGGGAAGAAAAATGTTTAGCTTTGCTTTTTGTCGCTGAAAGAAGCATATGGCTTTCTCTCTGAAGTACGGGATGATTCATGGGGCTCCGAAACAGCCAGAAAAGCTGTTCTACGGGAAACGCGAGGGCACAACTATGTCCCACTTGGAATGCCATGGATGGCAATGGTTTTTCGTGTATGGAATTCGCTTGCCAAGTTGGCTCCATCAGCCTTGTCACAACATGTCTAAAAGGTACTCAGGGCAAAACTGAAAGATTATAACAGCCTATTACATTTAAAACCGCAAGTAAAATTCCCATAGTTAAGTTAATTTCTGAACAGTGACGTCAATCATGCCCTAGTTCTTTGGCCATTTGGTAAGGAGGGAGTGTTGAATGCCAGTGTATCCCTCAGGACATCCAACATCAATACAGAATAATCTAGGCTGAATATCACTTTGAATTATTAAGTACCATTAAATATTACTGGAAAAGAACCGCTTTTACAAAATTGACACCTCAGGCTTACCTTAAATTTGATGCTGGATTGATGCAGGTTTTGGTCACATCAGTAACGTTGGGGTTGCAGCAGTCATCGTTATCGTACTCATAGTTATCCCAGTTGCACTCGGGATCACACACTCCGTTTTTCAGCTTGTGATTCGGACAGCGGGTCCTGGGCCTGCAGTAGCCAGCATCAAAGCCTGTCAGGGTGTGGTTACATTCAGGGTCACAGTCCTCATCGCCCACCTTACTGATATCACAGTTGGCTAGCACTAGCCGGCAACGTAGCGAAGAGTTGCTGACATTGTGAACCGTCAGCTCCCATGTGATGTTGTACATGGCGAAGGCCTCGTTCAGGTGCTGGTGCTGCAGATGAATCTGCTGATCGGTGACGGTGGGTCGACGAAGCTCATCGTCAAAAATGTTGACCACCCGGTAGCGCACCGTCTTAGGCCGTCGGAAGCTCCAGAACTGGTTGTAGTTGTGGACGACTTCCACATTATCACAAATGGTCTGGCCACAGGCTGGGGGCTCCAGGGTTGTGTCCAGAGAGCCAAGTCCAGCCCGAGGGCCATCGTCCGGCTGCGGAAAACTGCCATCCTTCACCGGAAGCCACTTGCGCCCAGGGTGCTCGAAACTCTCCCGGATGACCAAGTCAGCTTGGTATTGCGAGTCCTCATAGCCGTGCATGTGCCTTATGATCTGACGCGGGGGTAGGGCTTGACGCCACAGAGTGACCTGCTCAACTGAACCGCGGTAGTTGTTGTTCAAGGCATTTCCACCCAACATCAGCACCTTTGGGATTCAGATTAGATTACACTCCAGTTTATTCAATCACACAGATAACTTTAAGCCAAGTCTGTAAACATTATTGACTCAAGGCAAGAGACTACAAGTAATGGATATTCTTGCAAATGTTTTGGGTATTTAAAGTTGTCGGAAAAATACATTTAGATATGCAAATGAGAAATCTATTCTTTGGATGATTTTAAAATTAAAATGTCTATTTTTATTGTGAAGACAAACTTCAGAGAAAGAATTCAGGAAAGAACAGGCCTTGGAAATCATGTACTATTGCGGGAATATTTGTGGAACAGAGTTAAGCCTTCAGTAAAGTTGCTGACTTTTGGAAAACACAGTTAAACACAAGTGGATACAAATTGATAAAACATGCTGAAATAAATATATTTCAGTTGAATTATGACATTTTTATGATTGCAGTTTAAGAAAAGATGTTATAAACTGCTGGGACCAAAACCATCATTTCCCTGTGGTGTATTTAATAACACCACAGCATGCAAGACTCAATCTACAAGTAACTAGCAATAACTACATACTGCTAATCCCCACTTGTAACTAGTGACATTATCATTTCTTTCAATGATTTAAATTCAGTCAGTGCATAGAAAAGTAACCATAGACTTACCTTACACTTCTTGGTAAGAGCACAGAAGACATCTCCAGACTGTTCCCTGCTAACAGCAGTCTGAGCACCATTCACAAACAGTTTCATATAGAGGCCATCATATGTGATTGCCACGTGGGCCCAATGGCCAGGCAGGTAACGGGCATTGGAGTGGATGGAGGTCACCTTATGTGCTCGGTCAGTCTTGAGGGAGAAGAAGAAGCGTGGGTCCCGGTTGCCATGGTCGCTTACTGACTTTATGCCCAATATCCAGCCGCGATCACTTGAGGCGTAGAAGCACTTATCAAAGAGGCCTGGATAAGAGAGAGGGCAAGTGTATGAAATGGGAAATATATGAATGATAACTTTGTGAGTGGTATGAAGTATTATAGAGAGTCTATGTAGTCTATAAAGGAGGGGTATAGCTATGGATAGCATAGAATAGAATTACTTTGAACGTTTCTGACTGCAAAAAAAAAAAAAAGTTCCCTGAAAGTTACAAAACGTATTTTATCAGGTGCCATTATAAAACAAGATGTACCCAAAGGTGCCACCATCTTCTATCCTCGTTTATTTAGCATAAGGAGTATGCTAGGTAACTGGCGATCAAGGTAAGGACTATGCTAGGTATCTAGTGATCAAGGTAAGGACTATGCTAGGTAACTGGCGATCAAGGTAAGGACTATGCTAGGTATCTAGTGATCAAGGTAAGGAGTATGCTAGGTATCTAGTGATCAAGGTAAGGAGTATGCTAGGTATCTAGTGATCAAGGTAAGGAGTATGCTAGGTATCTAGTGATCAAGGTAAGGACTATGCTAGGTATCTAGTGATCAAGGTAAGGAGTATGCTAGGTATCTAGTGATCAAGGTAAGGAGTATGCTAGGTATCTAGTGATCAAGGTAAGGACTATGCTAGGTAACTGGCGATCAAGGTAAGGACTATGCTAGGTATCTAGTGATCAAGGTAAGGACTATGCTAGGTATCTAGTGATCAAGGTAAGGAGTATGCTAGGTATCTAGTGATCAAGGTAAGGAGTATGCTAGGTTACTAGTGACCAAGATAAGGAGTATGCTAGGTATCTAGTGATCAAGATAAGGAGTATGCTAATTAACTAGTAAGCTAGTTAATCAAAAATGTTGACTACGGTAAAGAAAACAAAGTTGAATAATACACTGAGTTAACAATGAAATATTTAGCACTCTGGTTGTGATAGCTACAGTGAAGTAGGCCGGATCTTGGTTAACTTTTTTGTTATGTCACCCCCACCCATCCACCACTCCACCCACCACTCCACCCCCACCCACCCACCACTCCACCCCCACCCATCCACCACTCCACCCACCACTCCACCAAAATGAAATTCTGGTTATACAATATGAAACTGTCTCATATAAAGCTAAAGCAGTGATGCCTCTTGTAAGCAAAGTAAAGTACTACATGAGTGCTCATTTCACCCAATCTCTTCGCCTAGAAATTGTGGTGGTTAGGCCAGAAATGGCAGTGTGCTGCAAACGCTCCACTATGCTAGAGGCACCAAAACACCTTTTTCCTGTTTCCGTTGGAAAGCATATGTCAGGTTCAGCACAGTGATGTGTTTTTACATAAATCACTCTGGTTCACTCCTAAAGCGGAATTCCATAGATTTTTCCAAAACATCGGCATAATTAAATGTCTAAGATGTAAACAAAGTTACTCTGAGTGGTTTGATGTAAAATGAGGAACTTGCCCCAGCAGTGGTGATGGGAACCAGACGTCTGAAGAGTTTAATGCCTCTGAAAGCTCCTAGACAGAAAGTTATTACACTAAATGGTTGTGCATACGCTGCCTCATGACTGAGACGTTGCTTCATGATAGTTCAAAATAAAACATATAAACACATGTAAGGCAAAGAGGTGCGTGCAACGAGTTGGCAAAAAGGGGTTTACAACAGATTGATCACTGTGTTACCGTAAAAACTCAGAATGCATGTTTTTGCCATGGTTTGCATGGTTTTGAATAGTAAATAAAATAGCTTTATTTGTATTGTAGCCATGGCGACCCCTGGTTGCTATCACCACCACTGTAAAGGCATCTTTAAAGGAGTGAGTATGTTTCTCTACAATCAACCATTTCACATTAAACTATTTTGAATGACTTTGTTTACATCTCAACCACTGAATTATGCAGAGAGTTGGAGAAATCTTCAAAAATTCCCCTTCAAACCTCCCTCCCTCTCTCTCTCTCTCACTGGGTAGATCCAGCAGAAGGAGTGTGGTGTTTATGCTGGCATGTGCATGCGCAATGAGGCATGCCTAGCATGTGGAGATGCATGTGTTCACCAGTTATTCTTGCGAGAGACATGCTTACAACAAGACTCTGTCACATACACAAACACAGGAGACTCATTGAGCCACTAAGAGGCCCAAGAGAAGTATCTGCGTTGAATTTGTGTACATCGTTTCTACATGAATGAAACAGATTTCATCGTCGCCTAAAGGACGTAAGCCAAAAGACACAACCGTGCTAGTAGATTTTACGCACGTGGACATGATGTAATGACTCTTTGCAGTGTAATAGGCCGAGACAGGAAGACACAACAGAATCCTTCTCGTGTGTCGCTGAAAGATAACTTCGTATCTGATCTGACCTCCCTGGATCTCTCCTCGCTTTTCTGGGTCTTGGATGTGTGAGAACGTTCTCTCTAGGTCAACATCAAATGGGCCAGTGCTCTCAGAGCATGTGGGGCCAAAGCCAGGGGTCAGCCCTGTTAAACATTACAGGCTTGCCACGACACTGCAAGAAAAGTCTGCCATCTGTCAGCATGCACACTCAAACTAAAAGGTGTGCTAAAATGCCTGTAGGGCCTATTATGTAAACACATGTCAGAAGTCTGCCACGCTCAATTAATCTAACACATTACATTTTTCCAGACGAACTGTGCAGAGCAGTCTGACCAACATACACACACACGTATATGTATATAGGTGTGTGAATATATACATATATATCGCTGTTGTTGGAACGAAAGCTCATATCTCCAGAAAGGTAACTTTACAGGAGAAGGAAATATGTTCTTAACTTTTAATGGAAGTAAATGGAGAAATATTTTTTTCCAAGTCATTTTGGACCATTTATGATGGTCCATTCATCATGTAATTTTGATACAACATAAAAGGCAACTGCCTTTTTTAAATAATGTCAAAAAATGAAAAATGACAAAAATGGAGATATGAGGTTTTGTCCCAACAGCAATGACATATGTATATATATTCACATATATTCACTATTTTACCTTACATAACTCCAAAATGGTAACTTTACAGGAGAAGGAAAAAACGATAACACTTAATTTGAAGGCTACCTACATAGGGACTTCATTACACATGAATAAGCATTGAATAATGTATTTATAAAGCAATGTTTGAGTCTTTATGGACAGCTTATGTCATTAATCGCAAGATGGCATTAGATGTTTTATGACGTAAATAACATCGTACTCACATAAGGGACCTTAAACTGACATGATGCACAGTTTGGTTAATTTATAACACTGTTATAACTATGTCCTTCTCATATGATGGAGCTTATACAAAGCTATGCAGAGGCCTAGAAAAAAAATACCAGTTGTATATATTTATAAGTACAAAAGTTCAGTTTTTAATGTGGTACAAAAGGAATAAATGTCTGTCACCCTTACGTCAACACCTTAAAATGCCAGGCTCACTACATTTACTTCATAAAACATCCTGTGTCATCTTGCAATTAATGGCATAAGCTGTTCATTCATATGCAACTATTGCTTTATAAGTACGTAATTCAGTTCAATTCAATTCAGTACTTATTCATGTGTTATAAAGTCCTTACGCAGGTAGCCTTCAGATAAACATACTTTAATTTTAATGTAAGTCAATGGAACCAGACGTTTTTCAAAATTCACATACAATATAAAGGCCAACAGGTATTTCTAAATTATGTCAAAATCTGAAAAATGTCAAAAATGGAGATACAAGATTTTCTTCCGATGACAGCAATAAACATAAATTGTCATTATTGTGCGAAACACTCTTGTATTCAAGCAGGGGTCCCATGTTGGCTCGCTAATCCAATGTTGGATTGGCTGTTCACTCACCATAGACGCACTAGCTTCAAGAAAATGTTTTGGTTTGGTTTTCTTCTAGAAATGCTTTTCTAGTTTGGTAATGCACTCGTCCACACATTGACTGAGATCTTACTGATCTCCTCTTTTGTCTTCACTTTGAGAAATGAATAATGATTCACTCTTTCCAGCACTATCTTGGGAAATTGGGCAAGTTTTCAGATTTACAAATACTTTATGGCATTGTAAAGTTTTTCAGATGTATCCTGGGCATAGTTACAGTTGTTAGGCTATGAATCACCAACTGGGTGAACCAGTCTACTACAGCACCACCAGGCCTACCAGTGTCGCATCTCTAGTTAGCTAAGAATACTAAAGATAGAAGCTTGTCAACTGTAGTTGAAATAGCTAAACAATGACAATATAATGTGATAATACGTTTATTTTCCAGGACCTTACAGAGTTTTTATTTTAAGACATTCAGAGGGTCCAAGAGGTTAACTAGGGGATCCCAGACCTGTCAAGACCCCCTGTATTTTGCACCTTGCTTTACATAGTGTCAAAATTTAATGATGACACATATAGAAATGATCCAAAATGACTTGAAATATAGTCAATTTCAATGACTTACACTTAAAGATAAAAACATTTTTTTTTTTTTCCATCTATGGTGCTCCAAAATTTCAACAGCAGAAAAATTTCACACAAAAATGGTCAAAAGCGGCATTTTGGTTAAAAAAGGCTGAAATTTTCGGCCGTACTACAGCAAAGTGCCAAACATTTAACAAATCATTGGACCAATGTTTTTTGTTTCTGTCGCTCTTCTGTGTCAATTAGCACAGATGTGTTCAAGCAGTTTGAGTCGCAGCAGAACAACAGTGGAAAAAATCCACCATGTGAACCTTTTTTTTTCAATGCCAACTCAGTTTTGTCCTATTGAAATTGGATTTTTTTTAAAAATACTTTTGTTTGATATTTGGTTTCGGTTTCCAGCCAGCTATATCTTGAATTTTGGTTTCAGTTTCGGCAAATGCGCTCTGTTGTACATACTGTTGCTATGTTGGACAAGATTTACAGAATGCAGGCAAAAATCTTATTCAACCTAACAGATTTAGGTAGAATTAATGATTCGCTACAGAACATGAGTTTCCAGTTTAAAATGCTACACCTCTGAGCTGGATTGTGCTGTTCTTGCTAATCAAAACTAGGCAGGTTGGAAACAATAATAAATCTGCCATC